GCCTGCTGCATTTGTAGTACACCCACTCGTAACGCAAAATAGTGTTGGTGCTTCGATTACTGGATGAACGCACAAATATCACAAAGTTATCCTTCATGTATTGATTTAAGGTCTTCTCAAATGCCATGAAGGACGAAAACGATACACCCACAAATTTCTCAACGAAAGCCACTTCCGAAGCCATAGCAGATGAAGTTCAAAGCCGAATGTGCGCCAATAATTTTCAAGTGACATCGATTAAAACAAATCGCAAAAAAATGACGGCAGATGGGGGGGTTTCAGTCTACGCATATATGCAAAGAAGTGCAACATTTTGAATTTAAAGTTTTTATTTCGGCTGCAGGGGTTTTGCAGAAAAATACATTGTGCGTCTAGCCGCTGGCGTCAATTTATTTCTAGACTGTCTGATGGAGCGATTGGAAGTGATCATATGGGAGAGCCCGGAAAAAAATCCTTCCGTCCAAAAGCCTGTGCCTGCCAGCAGGGATATTTAGTCCCCCCATTCTGACGTAATTTCGTGGTCAATGAAGTAATGAGACGAGCACCGAAAAGTATCCAAATCCATGGTGTTTGCATTGCTGTTGGTGGTAAAATTGTGTACATGGAATATACAGACAATATCGTTCTCGTCTTCGGAGAGGAGAAGAAGCAGGTGCCTTTGGTTCAAATGACCAAAGCCATCCCGTTCTTTGCTGTGTTTTTTGAATCCGCGATGTGTGCGGCCATGTTCATGGACACGCAATTACTTATCATGCCACTTACAATCCAGGCAAAGACATTCAAAATTGCGCAGAGTTTCACGTCTCCGAATGAGATGGCGATGTCGCACCATCCGAGATGCCACGCACAAGTGGCTTCTAATTGCCCGTTCCCGTTGAGTATGGCCTTAAAACAGGTGGGCAACGGCTAAGGCTCAGTCAGTTTCCATTTGACGTACATGTTGGCAAATTCGAAACCGTTTATTGTCTCAGTGTCGAGGGTCATGCTTTCGACGATGCTTCACCCAGATACTCTGATGGGATAACCAACGCTAGCTGAGGTACTGTCAGTACTCCTTCTTCCTACTTCTGATGATGGTGGCATTGACCTCAAGCTCGCACACTTCTCCGCAATGCAACATTCTCGTAGACCAGACCGACAAACCTTGTTTATTCGAACGAGTCACTTCCCTAAGCTTATTTATCCAGTTTTAAGCTTCGTACCAAATGAAAGGGACAAAAAATAACAGCTGCGTCAGGCATAGCTCCTCTAAGGCTATCTTGACCTATACTAACGGACAACAATCTTTCTGCCCGTCCGTCCAACGACACATTCGATGTACCCATCAGACGTCATACTACAAAACCAGCTTACTAGACAACCACCCACCGTAAGAGGTACTTGGCTTCGGCATATTGGGCACTGCCGTACCCTGGTTAATACGGCACTGGTCGCGTTTAGAGTGTCGTAGACACCCCGACGGCGCGCGAGACAAGCGAGTAATGGCTATTTTTGGCCCCGCACAGGTTTTTGTACCATTCTAACATAAGGCAACTATGGCCTTGGTATAATGGTTGCCCGGTTCAGACCGCAAGACGTTAATTGTGCGGTCATGTGAATCAGCCGGTCCCTAGCTTCCTGCTCAGCCCACTTTGGCACATCGAAAAGCACGGTTACTTCGGACAATATGTATGGAAACCAGGGAAGATTATTACAACTGTATTTATGGGGTAACGACAGAGTGGTCCACAAGGTCGGCCTAGAATGTACGTGTGGCGGCGAAAAAAACAAAAAAACGCACTGTTCAAGTACATGAGACATCGCCGCAGAAACAAGCCATCCGCGTTCTCCTTGAGGGACAGAAACGGAGAACCGACAAATGACCCAACAATGGTATCTGAGGCTTACGGAGAACACTGTGCGTGTTTATACTCGGCCCCAGCGTCCTCGGCACGTCCACTCTGGTCAAGGCGAAACCACGAACAACCCCTAACCGACGTGGTCTTCACGGTGGAGGACATTCTTCCACTCTTGCAAAAGATAAACCCATTCTGCGCGTTGGGGCCTAAAGAGGTCCATCCAAGGATCCTGAAGGAAACGTCCTCCACACGGGCAAATCACTTACACCTAGTGTCTCGTCAGTCGCTTGACGAAGTCCGCCTTCCCTCTGCTCGGAAGGAAACGATTGTCACGCCAATCTACAAAACTGGTGACCGAATATCGCCTGGCAGCTATAGGCCTATAAACCTCACTAGCGTGCCGTGCAAGGTAATGGAACGCATTTTGAAGCGAGCCATCCTAGATTACCTTACTTCCAGCAATGTGATATCTCGAGCTCAATACGGAATTCTCCCAGAACGCCCTTGCGTAACAAACATGCTCGTGTTTATGGACAGCTCAACCCAAGCCAAGGACGAAGGACTCATATCGGATGCCATATTTTTCGGCCTCTCAGAAGCATCTGATATGGTCCCAAACGTCCCACTGCTCCACAAACAAACTTCTTACGGGATTCAAGGGAAAACC